TTAGAAAGTCATTTTTATGGATCAGTTATAAGCTTCAAATTTAAAAGAACTTTTAAGGATACATCATTCTAATTTTATATTTTTCATAAATCTTCAACAATACATAAAATTCAGAATTCAATCTCCCATATTACTGAGTTCAATTAAATGTGCTTGTTTAATGTATTGTGGCAAGATACTCCTTGGGGAGACTGTTCCCAAAGAGGCACAAATGTCAAAACTACCTTACTTGAAAATAAATACATTGATATTTTGTTCTTATCTATCAGTTACAGAATTTTAAGTTGCTCATTGCAAACAAAGGTATAAAATAAACATTTTAAAAACTACTTCTCCTACTCTGACATTTTATTACAAATGATCATCAAGAAATGCCAATTGTATTAGGTATGTAAAACATATGTGGTTCTGGAAACACTAGCTATAGAGAAAGGGGGTCAGCCAAAGAAACTAGAGCTAGTAAAAGAAACCCACTCTGGATCTGAGACCCGAGCTAGTGAAAGGAAACACGTTAGCCCTAAACCCAGAACCTAAGAAATATGCCCTGACCCTGAAACCAGTGCCAAAGAAACACACTTTGTCCCTAGAATCAGAGCCCGTGTAACAAATATGCCCTGGCCCTAAAATTAGAGCCAAAAGGCTAAAAAGGACCAGTGAAAGAGACACAGTTTGGCCCTGAAATCAGAGCCATCCCTACACTTGACCAAAGAAACTAGCCGATCCCTGAGCAGGAAATCTTCTTCCTGGAGGAACTGCACCCTAAGAAGCCCGATAGAAAAGCCTCTCTGCCTGGTCAGTTGTCGGCTGTCCTTTCCCACCCTGGCAGAGACAGACAACCGCTCTCCTGGACTCTTCCTTCCCAAATAAATCTCTTTCTTCAAAGAGTCTTGGTGAAGATGTTCATTCACTGGAGCAGAACAGAAGAACCTTGCTGAGACTTTCTCTTGGAGGGAGGGGGGCTAAGGAAGGCTGAGCAGTCAAATTAACAACTTTTCGCCAGAACCAGAGGAGATTGCTACATTTCTTCAAGGGTTACCCCTTTAGCAGAGTGTAGCAAAAGAAGCAACTCCTGGGCCGGAGAAAAGCAGCAGAGCTCTGCTGGGAAGCCCCCTCAAGTGGAGGAGAGCAGAGCAAGGCTCCACTGTACTGGCTCTCTCTAGGAGAGGAGCAGGATTGCTAGATCCTGTGGGGGGACCATCCCCTACTGCACCCAGCTCCAGGTATCACCTGACTTCCAGACAAGTCAGGACACCTCTCCCTCCAGAGCTGAGCTGTCCTACTGTGGCTCCAGCCTCCAGAGCTGTCCTGTTGCAGTTCCAGGTAGAGCCTGGCTTCTCAACAAGCCAGGGTACCTTCCCCTCCAGAGCCGTAACGTTCACACTACCGTAAGAAATTTAGAAAAGATTTCTATGCATAAAAGTTCAGAATTTATTACTATTATACACACTTAAACTGTGTTGTGTATAAGTGTAACACACGAGAAAGACAAATGAAGAGTCAATTAAAGAGAAGACACCATGCTTTGACAGCTCATCCTGTTTACAGTGTTTCTAAAAAAAGAATCTGAACAAGGATGAAATGACAGAAAAGTAACAGACGTAGTCACTGTACTTGTACCTCAATCTGCAGTGGGACCTATGAATAATATGACCTGGAAAAGTCACTTTGAAAGAAATATTTACATTCAATAAACAATGTCAGATCTCAACATAGTTGTTGAGATCTCTACCAAGGATGGCCTGGGAAAGACTGAACAATTCTTTTAAGAACACACTCCTAAGTCCAGTTTACATCATACATGCAAGTGGGTGTACTTAAATATGTGTGCACATGTCGGGCCCAGAGGCAGATGCCATCTATCTTTCCCTACATGACCTGCTTAACTCCAGAACTCACTATTTTGGTTAGAACGTCTGGTCAGCAAGCTCCAGGAATCTGCCAGTCTCTGCCCCTCCCAGTGCTAGGGCTACAGATACAAGATGCCACACCAGACTTTTCTGTAGATTCTGGAGATCTGAGCTCACGTCCTCATGCTTCACTGCACAGTATAAACTTTACCTGCTGAGTCATCTCTCCACCTGTATCTGTGATATTCTTATTGAAGAGGCATCTCACAAAGAAAATATTAGAAAACTGTATTATATAAAATAAATGCCTTGTGTTTAATAAAAACAGATAAGTATGAAAGTTAAGGAAATACTAAGGAATCGTCCATAACTAGCAACAAAGAAATATGAAAACTAAATTCAATATATGATCCTATCAGGACTATTCTATAATAAAGGGTAATAGTGAGATAGAAAATCTGAGTGAAACTGAGGATCAGATGGGAATGCATCAATATAAGCTTTCTGATTTTTGTTGGTTATATTTGTAAATGTAGGACGCCATGAAAACACTGCAAGATTTAAGACAGAGGTGTGATTATAGCTTCAAAAAGACTACTCTGTTAAAGGACATTTACTATTTAAGTACAGGCATGAAATGAATATACTAAATTATTCACCAATTGTAAAAACATTAAGTATGTTTGTCATTTAATTTTATGTACCTATTCATTAGTGCTAAAATTCTATAAAACACATACAATACCACACACATACACAAACTCTCACTACTAAATAACAATGTAAGTAAACCTAACAAAACAAAGTCAGTTGTGGTGAAATTGGTATTATAAAAAATAATTGTATTTTTTATAAATGTTGTAATTTTATAGAGTCCAGAAATATTTTAAACTTTTTATGCACATTATAAAACATATTTAGACATGGAAATTAAAACAGAATGTTGCATAGAATTAGGTTAAATGTCACTTTGTTTCACCCTTCATTTGGAGGTCCCTAGTGAAAAGAACAATAAAAGAGAAATAAGTTTGGAAGAGCTCTTCAGATGGTTTCTACAGCAGAAGGAACTGTAACGGAATGAGACACTGAAGGCACAAAGTTAAGGTACCAGGAAGGAAGGCAACACTTAAAGCCTCAGAAGTGATTCACTGTGTCAGATAAGGATGAGGAGGCTTCTGAATGATGCTGGGCATTTGGTTTGAATAAGTAAATGGAAGCAGAAATGCAGGGGAAACATAGATCAGAGGGAGGAAGAAAATATATAGCCTTTCTAGGCACACATAATAACTTATGATAGAAACTATCTTGTAAATGACCAAAGATGTTGAAGCTTAAGAAAAAAGCTTCAGAAGGCCTCTGTGTCAAGCCAGAATAAATCTTGACTACTCAAGAATACTTGATTTGACATGATAGTTATTCTGCACTGATTCAATTTATCAAAAACGGATGGCTGTCATACTACAATAAGCATTTACTTTCATGATCTTTATATAAAATAATAACTGGTAACACACAGCTGATCGGAATGTCCTCATTCAAATACATCCAGCTCTTCTGTAAAATGAGTACAAAGACCAAGAATCTAGATATTCATTCACTCACTGTAAAGAAACAAACAAACAAACAATAAACTGCCATAATTTAAGGGTAAAATATTGATACTTTGAAAAAATTCAGTTTATTTTAGAAGCTAAACTGTTAAACTTATTTGATATTTATCCTTTATACTTAGCTAAAATAAGTTTAGATTATTAAAATTAGATTTTTTAATGATAGGATTCTACAAAACAACTCTAATATATTTATTTTATCTTCGAGATTTTAGGATTCTATTGTTAAGCCCTTTGTCTAACAATATTTTTTTCCCTGCTATGGCCTCAAAGTAGTAAAATAGCAGCGACATTATTCTACTATAACATTATTTAATATGCTACAGTAATACAGAGAACATACGAAACAGCTAAATACTCTATAGAGGAAATTTATGTCATTTAATATAGTTTTTTTCTTCATTTTTAAAATTAGAAAGTTTATGTTATAATATAGAAAAGTTGTCAAGAGAAAGGACCCAGCCATTTTTCTTTAAGACTTTTACCCTTACCTTAGAAGACGAAGAGTCACATTCCTGACATATCCATCCATAGCCTGTTTGTTTAGGAGATTTTTTCAAAGGAGGATCTAAACAGCCAAAATGGTAGCACAGTCTGCATTCATCACATCTGTAGGGTAAGCAGATTCACAGTGTATCTAAATAATCAAAGTATTTATTTCAAAAACAAAAGGACAAAGTGTTATACATTACTACTTTAACACCTAATTCTACACTTTGCTCAGGAGATTCTGAAATTAATGTTTATAATAAAGGTGATCTAAATCTGAAGTAAATATTGTAGAGGAACATGGAACAGTCATAAAATTTGCAGGGTAACTGTCATTCAGAACATTCTGATAATAAAAATGTTAAGCATATATGAATGAATATGTGCAAAAAACTAGCAATGAAAAATTCAATTTTGAACTAATAGAATTAATCATTTGTCCAGTAGACTGTTTACAGAAGTCTAAGCTATAATTATTGCCATACAAATTATACTTCATTTCTGTATTTTTCCAAGTTAAAATATACTGTAAGTGAGCTTTCTAACATTTACAGCATGCTAACACAACCTGCAGCAAATACAATCTTTGTATGTTAAACAACAAAATATTTAAATGTACAAGAAGAGCCCATCTCAAGGACTGACTATTACTGGTTTTTGTCAAGTTCTCTCAGCGCACTTGGTGTCTCAAGTACTTCCAAGGATATTCACACTTGGCAATGTTTTGACAGTGTCTTGCCTCAGATGATGTACATAATCTAAGAAAACTACCATACCTATTCTTCGTTTCAGACAATCTCATCCTGCTGACAATGAAGAAAAATCTGTATTATTTCAGTGTTTTTAAAAAGAATTTTGCATCAACTGGAATAATAAGACCAACATGTAACCACCAATATCAAATTGTATACATTTTACAGAAGGGTTAGATTCCTGATTTTCTTTGTGCTTCAAATTAAAAAGAAATACTTAAAAAAAAAAAAACAATTGAATTCTCTTTATTACTCATTTCTCATGGGCTCTGAGTGTCAAGTCAATTAATTTACAAGCAAAACACCAAGGAAGCAATTTATTAAGCAGACTGCTTGAATACAATACAAAATTCCTATTTAATAAGCATTGGGAAAATACAGAAAGGAGTTAATCTTATGCATATGCCACAGAAAGAAAGAAAACTAACTTTAGGAAATGATCACAATAAAGGAAACAATAACCTATATTTTAAGTAAAAATTTCTTACCATGTTACAAAAACCTAGCCTCTCAAGAGCCAAGTTATCCAGGCACAAAACAGTGTGAGACAGTTACCTGCCATCGCTTATCCATTATTTCTCTACAACTCATTTCTTATCAATGAAATAGTAAATGAACTTTTCTCAAACCTTTGAGACTCAAGAAATTAACCATAATTATACATTTACTGTAATTCCAGTTACAAGAGTGAATAAAATAAAACAGAACTAATAAATGCTATATATTTTACCATTGGTTGAAATAAAAGCATCCAAAATATATTAAAAATTAGAATGTTCAAATACTGTTGCTCCGGCATTTAAAAATAAGATTATATAACTAATTTCAAATGTAAAATAAGAATACCATATAGTAAGCCCATACAATTCAGGGTCTTCCTTTCTCAATTGAACTAATTTATATTTCAGTGGCTAAAATTTCCATTACACTAAATATTGGGGTACAGAAACTTTTGAAGTATGACTTTTTTAAGCTGATGAGAAGGTCCAAATTCATAGATAGGAAAGGAACACTGCTTGAAGTACAGGGTCTAATATGTCACTAATCCTTGATGGCAAACTTATAAAGAGCACCATTATTTGGTTTATACCATTATTTGGGATACATAAAATGCCATTTCTCTTCTCTGCTACACTGGGATCATCAGTCCTGAGTGCAGTTGTTACTACATGTCTGTGTCAAGTCTCTGTAGTTAAAATACCATTCACCTACTGTTTTGTCTGATTTCTTACATTCAATTTTTCAAGTTTTTGGGGATTATTACTTGCTTAAAAACTACCAGCATTGCCTCCTAATATTATCAGTATATTTTTACAACAATAATTTTAACAATTTTCTTAAAGGAACTTCTGTATGCAGAATTTAGACCATCAAAACTATTGAGCTTGTGAAAACTGACAATGTTTGAAATGAGGCATCTAAAAATATATTTAAAAAATTTAAATGATCCAATACCTGTTCTGGTATTGGTAGCTCTTTCAGAAGATGCTGTGAAGCATTTGCTCTTTTGAGATGACCTAATTCTTCCTGACACTTTCATCAGAGTACATTTCAGGACGTCTTTCTCATGATGGTGGACAACTGGGGGTGTTAGGATAGTTCTCTAAGGTCCTTGCTTACTCACCAGGAAGTAAAAGCTGCAACTCCAAGTTTAAATAGCATAAAGCGGTGGTCTCTACCCTTAGGAACCACCAAAATCCAAGAGACAGAAAAAGAAACACAGAGAGAAACACCCCATTTGAAATTAATAGGTTTGCCAAGTAAATAATAAATATAAGATATCCAAAGGAATTTTACAAGTTATTTTCATGTAGAAAAAAAATTCATTAATTCTGTTAAACTGAAAGAAATCACAATTTTAGGTACTGGTTACAATTATCACCTAAACAGCAGAGGTTAAATCTAGCAGAATTTGCAAGAATTTGTGTTAACTATAGGGCCATTGATGAATTTCAGAGATATCATTAAAATCCTCAGAACATAGAATATAGAAGATTAAAATAATAGACCATAATACACATGCATACATACCAGTGTAAAATTTTTATCAAAATTTAGCAACTAGCAAATTTGGGCTACATAGAAAATTCAAGTATTTTTAAAACTCAAAAAGTAAGTCCATAGTGGCTATATTCTGAAAACTACAACGGTAAAAACAGTAACTGATCAATTTTACTTAGTTTCTAGTTTTAATAAGTACTTGAACAAATTTTAATTCCAACAATACAATAACACATACTTAATTTGTCAAAATAAAGTGAATAAAAACAAGTTTTCAAAGGAAGTCAATGACCCACAAAAGTATTGTGATATAACACAACATACTTTATTAAACAAAACAAATGTTTATGTAATAAAAACATTATATCAATAGCACATTATAATAAAAAAGAAGGCAATACCTTAAACATGAAAAGAGAATATAAAACTAGCATATGAAGAATGTGTCTTTAAATAAAATGTAAACCCAATGTTTAAAGTATGTTTAAAATATCTAATAAATACTGTGCACATTGGACTACAGAGTATCCTAACATTTACAGCTTAATGAAATTAAACAAACCCAATTTATAATGTAAAACAAAACCTGACTAATTATGTACCTATTAAATACAACTTCCTACATACTACATTCGTATTTGATACAGATACAAGTGACAGAGAAGTTCTATATGGTCTTTACACATTGATTTAGCAAAACATAGAGACTAAATAAATAAACACAGCTCTATTTGTAGTAAAATACTTACTTAGCATTATGATTAAGTATAGCACCCTAGACAAAGCAGAGAAAATGATTGATCTCCATAAGTGCTATGATCTACACAAGCATTAAATTGGGTGTTGAGTGACTATTGACAATGTTGAAACAAGCAAAAATATGTAACTGATTTATTTTTCTCTTGTGCCTAAAGGTAAGCTAATCAAGTGGTTCTCAACTCCTTTTGGGAGTCAAATGACTCTCTAACAGGGGTCGCCTAAGAACATTGGAAAACACAGATATTTACATTATGATTCATAACAGTGGCAAAATCACAGTTATGAAGTAGCAACAAATATAATTTTATGGTTGGGGGTCACCACAACATGAGGAACTATATTAAAGGGTCACAGCATTAGGAAGGTTGAGAAACACTGCTCTAAATGATTTAACTTTTCTTAATTTCCAATTAGTAAGTTCATTTGGGGCATACACTAAGTAACTACTTAAAAAAACACTAGATGAAATAAGTGAGTACACCTCCTAAGCAAGTAGTTTATGACTACATGATAAACTGGCCTTTAGAAAGAAACAAAATCTGTGGCTCAGACTTTAAAAGGGATGTACTGTTTCAGGATCACATTGGTGTTGACAATTGTGGATATTCTGTTACCTTAACGGAACACAGTACTCACTCAGTCTTCCCGCCCAGTCTATGCAATGCTGGATAAAAAACTGTCTCTGAAACTACATCACATTACATTTTTCACTTAGAAACAAGAGCATCAAGAGAACAGATTGGGGGTGTGGTGGGGTTCTGATTTTCCCATCAATTAGTCTTGAATATTAACACTGCTTAAATAAAACCTTACTAGCAATTCAAACACAAATTTAGCAACTACAGTGATAGGTTATTTCAGTGAACAGTGACCAATCCTTTCAATTAAATGTCTTAACAAACAGAATAAATATATACTGAGTTCCCTTAAAAATTTTAAATAATATGAACTGTCACAACACTCTTACATTCTATCAATGGTATGATACTTATAACTAAGATATTTTATTTCTTATAACATTTAACAATTTTAGTGCAAGCCATCTACATAAGCATTTTCTATACAAATTAATTAGAAACTGTGTTTTAAATCATATCTCACAAATTTCAGACCAATGTGGAACACATGAACCTATTTCATTAATGCTACTGGGGATGTCTCTCACCAGCAACAGTGAATGAGTGGGTGGCAGGACAGTCTAAAATTTTTCATTACAGGTGACTATAGACTGAAACACTATCTGGGAAAAGTGAAATCCAAGTCCACTTAAAGAGTGGATTCAATTCATTATCTACATCTGCAACAGCCAGCTTGCAACTTTAAAAGTAAAATGAAAAACAACAAAACAAAACAAAACAAAACAAAAAAACAGAACACAAAACAAGGCAATTCATACGAAAATACACAATAAGGTCAAGTATCTCTTCACAGCATGAGAGAATGATTAGACATTTCCATACCTGAAACACGTCTGCTTTGTTCTTTAATAAACTGATCTCCATCTGCTCATGCCCTTGGACATTTTTTAGCACCACAACCTGCTGTGTCCAAGCTCCACATAACTTTGCATTTCCTTGTTCATAATTAACTAATTATACTCCAATCAATAGCGTAGATCCTGATTTTACAATGTAAATCAGGTAAATGAGATAATGGCTAGGGGGTCAATCTCATTTTATTTACCAAGCCCAGCATGAACATTCAATTTCATTACATCTTATGTACCTGAACAGCAGTCAATCTTACTGGCAGGCCTATAGAACACCTTATGGTGATCGCTACAGGAAATAAGCCTACATTTTTTTTTTAAATAAAAAATCACTTGTAAAACCTGTCTCCGTTCACAATCCTTACTGTTATCTAAACTTACAAGGAGATGGCTCAGGCAGCTATGGATAAATTCCCCTTCATCTATCTTGTCATCTGTATATCTGCCTATGTGTCCTATTAAGTCTCTTCAACAGGTTTCACCAGTCAAAAATCATTTCAGAAATGAAAAAAAATATTTTGAAAACTGTTAATGTTCTAATCTATTGCAGCATCCTTCTGAATTCTTAAACAGATCTTGGTAAAATATTTCCATACTGTGAGTCAAGTAAAACATACCGATGAAGATGTATGTAAGAATGTTTAAAGTATGTAACTTTGAGTGCTTAAAAAGTGTTTCCCTAAGAAATAGGATATACAAACAGGGAAGTAGGGCAACTAAAATGAATATTATTTGTCAGAAATCTATTTTTTTTTTTTTTTTGGTTTTTCGAGACAGGGTTTCTCTGTGTAGCTTTGCGCCTTTCCTGGGACTCACTTGGTAGCCCAGGCTGGCCTCGAACTCACAGAGATCCGCCTGGCTCTGCCTCCCGAGTGCTGGGATTAAAGGCGTGCGCCACCACCACCCGGCCAGAAATCTATTTTTATGCCACATATAATATTGGATAAACATTCAGGAAACACAAAGTACAGTGATACATAAGTGATGTATAAATATCTAAATTTAAAACACAATACAGGCTAAAGCTAAACATTATTTTCATATGATACATAATCCTAACTCTTAAAAAACAAAACAAAACAAAACAAAACAAAACAAAACCCAAGAAACACAAAGACCAGGACATTTTGGGCAAGCAGTGTTGCTCTATTTGTGAAATAAATATTTAAATGAGTTTTTAAAAATGAAGGAAGTTGTACGTTGTATGTTTCAGAAGAAATTACTTTTCTACAAACCCTCTGTCCAGAAACAAGTATTTTGAGAAATTTGAGCCCCTTAAAGACATCAACATTCATTATTAATCAATACTGAATATATTATTTTAAACAAATAACTATACACAATTGTTCTCAAAGTAATCCTGACTTAGTAATCCCTGATCAGCTAAATCAACATTATTTTGAACCTGTTACAAATTCAGATTGTTTCATCTCATCACAAATCTACAGAATTAAAAACTCCAGAGAGGCAGGGAGAGAAATGTGGTGGAACAGGAGGACGAGAAGATGATAGCCAGTCAAGTCTCAACAAATTCTTCCTGTGACTCTGATGCATCACTACCATATCATCCACTGGGTATTTTTTCAGAGGCATTTAATTCCCTTCCCAATATTGTGTAACATGGTGTGTGTGTGTGTGTGTGTGTGTGTGTGTGTGTGTGTGTGTGTGTGTGTGTGTGTTGGCTTGCCATCCTGCTTCAGAATTGTCCACCATGGCTTTTGAGCTAGGATCTCTCATTCGCCTGGTACTTGTCCAATCTGTATGGTGGCTGGCCAGTAAGTCACAGAGACCCTTCTGTCTCTGGCCCCAGTACTCACTGGAATTACAAGTCTGACCCAGTATACCCAGCTGTTCACATGGGTACTGGTCCTCATGCTTATATGCACTTTACCAATTAAGCACTCTCCCAGCTCCTTCCTGACATTTTAATTTTCTTTCATTTCTGTTTCTGTGGCATATAACTGTCAAATACCTGAGCTGTCATTCCCCTTTACACATATTTGTAAGATAAATCATTCTGAAATATTTGCTTAGATAAACATTAATTTTGCTTTTTAATAGCAATGGACCAGTAATGGGCAAAAGCTAAGTTTCTACTGTTATTTAGAAGATTATTAGGAGAAAATATTTCATTTTTTTCTCTTCAGAAGATGGAGACTTTTAAGAAACTATTGTGCAACTTATACCGGTAATGTATGAAAAACATGTAACATGGGTTGTTTACCAAACTTGGAAGAGCATAATCTACCACTGAAAACTAAAACATGAAGAATGGTAATTGGCCTTTTCTAATGATAACCACTGTGAAAGGGATTTTGGTTAACAGTGCCATTACAACCACACTACCCATGATTTCTCAGAACTAAAACAGAAACGCAGAGGAAGGAAAAAGAAACCCTAATTAAAAAAATATCCACTAACGTTTTCTTACCTTATGCTAAAAGAAAGTTGGCCTAAGGCATAGTTCATTTGAAAATGCTAATCTGCTACTGTCATTTTTCATAAAATTTGTTGATGTTTGCCAACTTTTCCATAAATTAAGTAATAATAGTTGGTTCTTCTTTATACCTAAAGAAAGCATATTGCTTTTCCTAAGGATTATGGATATTTTCTCCAGTGCTATAATATCTACCAATAAATTAACAGCATCTTTATACATTATTTCCTACATGTTTAATTTTACTAAACATTTTATCCAGTCATATGATTCCTATAACTACAGATTACTAGAGATACCAACTTTACAATTACACACACATTGGCTATCTACAGCATTGTCTATTCTATTTCTACAGTTTATTCCAAATGCCCATATACCTGGAAAAATCCAAATCCACAATGATAAACAATGGAATTCCAAGATACAATTTGACAATTTACATGTGTATGTGCATTTCAATTTCAGCAGTCTCTTCTAAATCAGTTCAAGATAAATGGTGCAATATTCAAAATATTTCTGCCGTTGACTTAAAACTGGACCAGTAAAGCATGAAGATCAAATGTAAACTCTGTAAACCTCTGGGAAGACACAGGTGCTGGTGAAGATCTTTCAGCAGGCAGGTTGTATACTCAACAAGCTCTGTATCTCCCTCATTTCATAGCTTCACATTTAAGTTCAAAAAAGTAAAATCGTATGGAACACACAGAGTTCGTATTAAATGAAACAATAAGGAATGAATTTGGGTATTTCTGAAAAAAGTACCTACAGACTAATACAGATAGTACGTTTATTCTTGAGCTTAAATTCTAGTTATCATATGTCCATGCTAATATCAAGTGCTTTCATACTAGAAAAACCAGAAAGTTGTAATCTTCACCAGTCTTTCACTTTTGCTGAATATCACAAATAGAAATTAAATTTGAGTCTAGAGTTGTTCTCATTGAAGAATTTCTTTCATGTGTGAATACATGTAGTAAATAAGTTGATACAGACTTGCAGATCAGTGGCAAGCATTGTCCTTTTACAAACAAATAACGGAGGTAAGTGTTCAACAACAGGGAAGCACAGAGCATGTAATCCCACTGGCTTCCTTTAGTCTTCATTCAGTCCAAATACTGTATTGTCTCGAGCCAAAGGAGCAAGAGGGAAAGACATTTACCCACTAAAACAATTCTGACAAGACAATACCCACTGTTGTTTTTAATAATGCGTACACCAAGTGTTTCTGAGTATTGTAACAAAAAAAAAAAATGAGAAGGGGAGAAAGAAGAAAATAGAAAGAAAAAAGGAAAAAAATCCACGGGCAAATTAACTGCCTTGTCTACCCATATAACAGACCAATCAATTACATTCTATCCAAACCTGACAAGCAAAAGCACTTTTGAAGTGATAAGCTTATGGGAAGGACAAGATAGCTGTTCTCCTTTAGTTTATATGCTCTATTGAGAGTTTTATCCACATTTTAAAATCACACTTATAAAAGAGGTTTCCAGGACTGCCTCCGAGGATGAGCTGTGGCAGAGTTGGGTCTCATGAAGGGTATCTACACAGTAAAGTGATAAGAAAAGAGCATTAACATTTAAAGATCATAGCAGCTCCGTACTATGCCTTATGAAACATACTAATAATACCACAGTAGATTCAAATAACAAAGAGATAGAAATCCTCACCCTAAATGCCATGGTCTTGGGCAGGTTCTCACTGATTACAAGTGAATAGTTTAGCTTTTGAACACTGAGTTGCCTCCTCTTGTATTATTGGTAATAGTTTCGATTATCAAAATCAATCTATTTTATGAGAGAATGGCTTGAATATAAAGGAAATGTATTTGATCAATTATTATTTTGAAAAATTACTGAGAATGGCAATTTTACAATGCCTGAGGAAACATGCAACTATATCTCTATACTGTCTTCCTTTGAAAAAGACTGTATTAGAAATGCACGGCTAACATTATTTGCAAACTTTGTGTCTTGATTTTGAGAGGAAAAATCTTAAGGGCTTAGAGGGTATAAGTAACTTTTTTTTTTTAACTATGGTAGAAACAAAAGTTCACCATTTCTTTCACATATTTAGAACTGTAGAGATGACACAAAATTGCTAAATAGTCACACATCATTAAAAAAGTTCATTTTTTAATAAGTATTAGAAAGATGTGTTTAATGCTTCTAAGTTCCACTGAGAAAAAAGAAAGTGAAAAGAGGCACACAGAGAAATAAAGCAGTACTGAGGAGAGCTACCATGCCAAACTCACCAGAGACAAAGAAAGTGAAAACAAAACTTTTTCGACAAAGAAAAGACAAACATGTGAAACAATGCTAAGAGAAATGCTGTACTTATCAACATGAGAAGCGACAGCAAGAGCTGGACTCTGAACTCCTGTGCTAAAATTTTCAGTACTTTGATCTCTATGTGAAGAGCTTTTAGCACACTGGGAATCTGATGTTTACTTTGAACATTAAGCAGTACTAGGAAAACACATTCTAGAGGAAGTAACCTTTTATAATGCAAGCACATTTCACTCTCAATTATGAAAAAATAATGACGACTAACAGGTAGTGAAAAGAATTCATAATTACTTGTGATAGTCCTTTGAATATGGATACACAATTTATCAAGGAAATCCATTTTAAACTCCAACTCAATCCAAGTTGGATTTTAACTGTGGGAAAACCAAGCAGTTACTCCTAATATTTCCTTTCATATTAAATTTCATCAAATATTTTAAATCTAAATGCTAGAGTAAGCAGCATAACTTGTCTTCAGCTCTACCATGTCAAGATAAAAGACTGTATTATTTTAAATCAAAGCTCATGTTTTAACCTAGCAATTACTTTATCTGTATTTAGTAAGCTTTCTTTGAAATTAATATAGAAAAAATAGTTTTAAAGAGTTTCGCTGACGGATGAACCAGAAACTATAAACAAGTTCTGCAGTTTTATTATTAATTACTAATAATTATTAATTATTAATAAACAAGTTTTATTAGCTGTGTTGGTGTAAGAAGTACCTATTCCATCTGACTAAGCCACATACATTCAATCGGTGCAGTGTGGTGAGGTAGGATGCCTGATGCCAAATGCAAGGGCTTGATAGTTAAAATGACTTATATTCAATACTCACTTCAATCACACTCTACATTTGTGATCTTAGGCAAGTGATTTTCCACTTCCCCACTCACAGAATAAAATTAGCTTGTCTCCTATCTGTATTATAGAGATGGTTGCTGTGGGGATTATAGAGATCAATACGCAAAATCCTAGCAACACGACAGGAACACAATGAGTGGGAACTGGTATGAAAGCCAGCAGACCTGTCAAACACTACAAACTGTTTTATAGTAGAAAAGAAATTTTAATATATAACAATTCATACAATGTACTTTTAATATACACTTAACTCAATTTTACATTGTTTGCTGCTTCTATGCCACAGGTCACTCATATCTAAAAGATATGCACATCTTACAGGTCTTACCAGAACTGATGGGCGTAGTACATGTAGAGAACAGAGTCTGGGATGGAGAACCTCATATGAGAATTATTATAATTTCCAGGCCAAAGGTATCTGGAAGTGACATTCCTTTGTACCTGTTATAATACATCATTTCCTAGGTACCACAATTCACCACCAACCACCAAGTCTGTACCACACCGTCTGTCTCATTCCTTTTACCTCCTCCATCATTAATATGACCAAACTCACAAAGCCAATATAAAGTGGCTATATGAATACCATAAAGTAAGTTATTCATTTTCATTAAAAAAATGAAGTCAATAAACCCAAGAAAACAATGTAGTTGGGTTCTAACACTAAGGCGGATACTATTTGTTTTGTGGTTCTAAGGACTGAGAGTTTTAAGGGAAGACATGGGGGCTCACTTGGAGAGAAACTGTCCATTGCTGACGAGAGCTGTTTCACACAACAAGAAGTTTGAATATCGGTCTCTAACAGGAGCTTGTTTTCTGATGCTCAGTCAAAGCTGGGAGATAATACAAGTCCTAAATGAATGGCGAGGTTATACACTTCCAAATTCTTTTCAGACTTGGATATTACTTCTTTTTGGAATCTCTGTATTATAAATGTTACAAATTTTGAAAGGAAAAATGAAGGTTAAAGCTTTCATTTTTACAGATGAGAAAATGACTAAAAGTAACTTAATTCAAGGTCATTCATCTTGCCAGTAACAGAACTGATTAGAGATTCCGGTCAAGGTCATTCATCTTACCAGTAACAGAACTGATTAGATTCCAGTCTGCATGTTTGGATATGTACGTGTGTGTGTGTGTGTGTGTGTGTGTGTGTGTGTGTGTGTGTGTGTGTGTGTGTGTGTGTACAGAAATATAGATGGGTAAGTGTGCGCTTGTGTATGGAGGCTATAGGCTGAAATCAGGTGTCTTCCTCAATTACTCTCCAATGTACTATAGTTGTTATTTATTTTCTTGAGATGGAGTTTTTCATTTGTTCACTGATTCACAGGCTGGCTGGTCAGTAAGCACCAGCTGGGATCCTGTTTCTGCCTTCTGGTGCTGGGATTACAGACATACACCACCATATTAACTTGTGTATGGGAACTCAGGTTCCCATCCTTACATATGAAGCATTTTACTGACAGATCTCTCTCCAGCCCTAAGGAAAACTATTCTTGCTACATGATTAATATAACCATTGATGTATGTAATAAATAATATTTGTCTAAGTTAACAATATAAACATACTACAATGGAAAATAAGTTTAAAATTCAAAATTAATTGTATTGAATAAATGAACAAAACAAACATTTCACTGTTAAATGTGCCTGAAACCAGTGTTTTTTTCCTATTTTCAATTTAATATCCCAGAAACAACATATTTCACTATGTAAAGCTTCTGTGATTTTATGTGTCTGCTTTATAGTCATTTTATACAATCACAAAGAATTAAGTATAAATACTGGTAAATTAAAAATATGAGTCACACAAATTTACTTCAAGGTTTAGTTTTCCTGTTTATTTTAAATTTATGCAGGAATTATTAAAATGACAAGAGTACATTACAAAATTTAGTAATATTGTAAATATTACATGTGAGGGAGTAGGTTAGTCCCTATACATGTCTTAACAATATCACCAAATCAACCCAATTGGAACATTAGAGGGGAAAGGCATGGTAAGTGAACATTTTGTTTTTAGCCCCAAATTTTTTAAGACCTTAATAGGAAAAATGCAGTGGCAGCTGGGCTGCTTTCCTATCCAACTGTGAATGTTTGGAAACTAAATATCCCTTTCCCAATCTTTACTAACAGAAACATATCCTTTACAAATTACTTTTAAATGTAAGAATTCCTTTAGGGAATTCCGCTGAGTTTCTAATTCCTTCTTCAGAATCTAGTCTTTTCATGATGTATCACTAAGCATAACTTTAATTCTAAAGACGGTGACTTTAAATCACCAAGCATTACTTTTTATAAAGCAAGGTAGGTCAAAAGCAACAAGGAAAAATTCCTAGTGGAAGGGATGTTGAAAAAATTAAGAACAGCAATTAAAAGAAGCCAGTATTAAACTTTGCACTCTTCTGTGCTGTAAGCTTTCTTTGTTCTAACTGTCCACTAAACACTCAAGGCAGCTTAGGAATAAAGACAGAAAGTGCAGTGAAGAACTGCTGGTCTGGTGAGTAGGACAAAGGAGAGTATGTGACCTGCACAGCAGCTAAGACACTGGGGAAATTTCCCCAATGATATCAATACAAGAACTCAAATCCTGGATATTTTATCGGGCAAAAGAAAGACCCAGAGGTTACAGGAAATGGTATAACAGGCACAGACTAACAGTAAGGATGAACATATTCTCTATGCTGACTTCCAACACTGATCATCAATGAATGACAGCTCCCCTCCCCCAGCACCTGTCAGCCATTGTTGTCAGCTGTTTATTGATCCTGGCTATTTTGACTGGAGTAAGAAGAAATATTGAAGTAGTTTTAATTTGCTTTTTCCTGATTACTAAGTATGTTCAACATTTTCTGAGATGTTTTAGCCACTTTTATTTCTTTTTTTGAGAAGTGTCTATTCAAATACAGAGCCCACTTTTTAGTTGGGTCATCTGTTTCCTGTAATCTTTGTTTTTGTTTCTCTTTTCTTTTCCTTGTTTTCTTTTCCCCTCCCCTTCCCTCTCCTCCCCTCCCCTCTCCTCCCCTCCCCTCCCCTCCCCTCCTCTCCTATTCCTTCCTTCCTTCCTTCCTTCCTTCCTTTCTTCCTTCCTTCCTTCCTTCCTTCCTTCCTTCCTTCCTTCCTTCCTTCCTTCCTTCCTTTTGTGTATTCTGAATCAGATGTGCAGCTGGAAAAAATTCATGCCCACTCTGTGGACTTTGTCTTCACTGGTTTCTTTTGTTGTACAGACACTCTTCAGATTTCTGAGGTGCCATTTGTGAACTGTTGGTCTTACTTCTGGAGTGAATGGGATTCCCTTTCCTACACACCTATATTTTATAGGGTACTGCTTATGTTTTCTTCTACCATTTCTGGACTTTTGGTTTCACATAAGGCCTTTGATTCATTTGGCGTT